GGTGTACCTCAAGTCACCACCACAATAAACAAAGGGTGTCTCCGTCAACCAAAACTCCTGTTGACGTACGTGAAACGAAACGCAATGATTACATAAATGTCAGTTTATCACAAATGCCAACATTTCCTGTGAAATATCTAGAATACAAGTCAGTTTACAAAGTGACAGTTACCAAAAGTCCGACAAAAAGAGTTTAAAATCTGGTCATGGGCCCAAGTGACAAAACATTAAAATAAATTTATGTCCACTTTGATGATGAATAGTTATTTCAAGGATTTTATAAAAGGAATAACCGAGAAATAATACAGAAAAGACAAGAAAAGGAATGAGTCAAAAGGATAGGCTAACACGGTGGTGATTCTTTGTCGTAAAAGAATTTCAGAAATAGTAAGGATCATGAATCTTCAAAATATAAGAGTAATCTTTCAAACAAACAACACCGTAAGGTCTAAACGGGTAACAATCAAAGATTCAGTAGGGATAGAGCAATAACAAATTTGTGTATATGCGATCAAATGTGGTGATTGTAATAGTTTATATGTAGGTGAGACATCACGACAACTGCATGTGAGGGTGAAGGAACACAAGCTTTGCTGGAAGCACACTCATAAATCCGCATATGAGTTGGAAAAACTAATAGACAAATCAGGGACAGAATTACACTCAATAGAGTTGGGACATGCAATTGATACCACTGGCACAAATATCCTCCGGAAAGGCTTTAGTTTATACAAGAGAAACTAAAATCCAGAACCCTACACATCTGGAAATCCAAACAGTATTATTAGGAGGGACGGAAAACAAATAACTGTTCCATGACAATTAAAAATTCACAGGTAAAATTGAATGAAGACGAGAAGAGGGATCTCGGCAGCTCTATTATCTATGGAGCATGTAATAACACTGGTGATGACATGCTGAAAATCGAAACCATCATAACGTCAAAAGTAATGGACTCCTTCGACAAACTTGGGTCTCACAGCACAGGGCCCCCGAAATTCAACGATGACTCCCCAAAACTCCGCAGGTGATTGGACCTCGGTTACCAAAGTTGAAAAAAGCCAGGCGTCACCGTCTAAAAACCTGAGTATCCCAAGTATTGTAGCGAAATCAGCTGGTGATTTGGCCGCACAATGCTCATCAGACAGGAATATCTGAAACTGGGATATCTTCTCAGTTTATGGGCCAGGAGCTATCAGTACGCGGGATGTCTTTGTTTCGCAATGACAGAAGAACAGGAATTGGGGGTAGAGTAGCCTTATACTTACGATCCTGCCTGGAGACACATCAAGTTCACAAAAGTCTACCAGTCTTGATGTGTCCGTATAGTGCTCAGTAAGATTGTCTACGACCTCGAGGTGTCTATTTGGAGTCACCTACAGGAAGCCCACTTCTGACATCGAGGACGAGGTACGAGTACTAGTTCCTCTTCTTTTCATGATTAACATAAATGATCTTCTACAGCAGTTACCGTCTTACTTATTACTTTCTGCTGGTGATGTGGAACTTTGAAGAGAGATACGCAACCAAGAAGATTTACTGGCACTTCAGGAGGATCTGACTCGACTTCAAAGTGTAAAGTAGTCCATCTCAGACATGTTGCAGATTATAATTAGAACTTAGGAAACTTCTCTCTAGAAGCACCTGAAGTTGAAAATGATTTAGGAGTGCTGGTACTCTACGATTCGAAGTCTTACGCCAACTGTGACAAAAATGCCTTTCGAGCAAACTTTGCACTGGCAACACTGAAGCGCGTTTTTGGCTAGTTTGACGGTAGAAATTTCCACACAATCTTCAACGATTTTATTCGTCTCCATTTACAGTCTAGGAAGCATGGTACATCATCCCTCACTTCAAAAGGATAGGGAAACTCTGGAGCGTGTCCATCGGCGAGCCACAAAATCAGTCCAGGGACTCAAATTTAAGCCCTATGAAGGCGCCTTCATTCACTAAACCTGTACCCATTAGAGTATAGACGTCTTAGAAGTAGCCTTCTAATGGCTTGCAGCATCCTTAACACCTATGGAAATCCCCTTAAACACCTACTTAAGTTTAGCTCCAACGCAAACCTAAAGAGTAACACCCAGAAACTAGAGACACAACACGGCAGAACGGGCTGTAGACAAGACTTCTATTCCCTAAGAGTTGTCAACTGCTGGAATTCATTCCCGGATGAGCTAATTCAAGTGACTTCCAAGGAGTCCTTTGAAAGGTAACTTGACATATTCTTAAGGACTAAGGATAATATTTTATTATGATTTACCAATTTCTTTTTTTTCTATTATCGTTAATATACCTAAGTGCTTTCCTGGAGGTATTGGTGATCCACTGCTATTAGACACGGAAGCCCGTTGAGCGAAAGCTACTTTTATTTCACACACAACCATTTGAACCCCATTTAATCTATTACTTGGACCAGATTTCCAAGCAAAACGTTGAACTTAAAATTCAAACGCAGAGGATTTTTCAAACATAACTGTCGTTCTTAATATCCTAAATTAACACGGCGCCCAACTACCCTAAAACGCTGTGTTCAAATTTAGATGAAATTTTTTATTAATAGGTGGTAGGGTTGATCATTGTAGTCTTCGGGCTGACCTAAACGAACTAGCTAGATGATCCCAATGTCGGGGCTCAGAAATTGGTTCTAGAAAGTGTGCTAATGCAGGCCGGACACGGTGATATTTACCAGTATACTGTCAACCGTACATCGCTTCAAATCTTACAGGTACGAAAAGGCTTAGAAGTAACAACTGCAGACCGTAACTCAGGTTTTGAAGTGTTATGGTCACTTCATTCGTCATTCAAACACTTTGACGAGGACATGTTTCGGGTTTTACACCCAACCTGTATGAGACCACACCTAGAGTATTGCATCCAAGAAGCTGGTCCACTTCTTATTGGGGATGTTGACACATTAGGGAGTGTCCAAAGTCTAGGGACAAACCTAGCAAAGGGTCTTTCCAAACTCCATTTCAATGACCGTCTAAAACGTCTGAACAATTTCCCCTTAACTTTTCGTTCAACGCGAGGTGACCTTATAATGGCATTCCATACCCTCAACAACACGTCCTATATTTTTTATCACTTCAGGACTAATCATCTCCAACGCTATAGGAAGAAGCTTCAAAAACAGTTACCCAATAAAGTTAGAGTTCCGTTTTACTCACTATAGAGTAAATAACTGGAACGCCTTACCCGAACAGATAGTATCAGTTTTATCACTGAGCATTTTAAAGGAGGAGCTGAATTTCTATTGGGAAACAAGTTCGAATGATTCACACAGGTCCAGTGACCTACAGTCCATTTTACTGAAGGATGAAGTAGTGCCTGAATTGAACCTTCAAGGTCGTAGTTACCTTGTATTGATATTGTTTCAAACCTCGAGTATATTTGGATTGAAATAGCGATTTGATTGTTTTTACTCTTAGCGTAGATCTTCGGCACATGTAGACGTTTGCAATAAGACTAGTGAAAACTAGTTCTAAAGATAAAACTGTCAGCAACGCTTCTTTAGAGTCAGAATTCTGACACTCTTTCTCCCTCTTTAAAGAGGGAATAACATAACTTATAAATCCCTTCTGGCATACTAAACGCATCCAAGTTCGTTTTGAATTTCGTTAAGCAGGAATGTGATTAAAGATATTTCGGTGTCAATCGCAGTTACGGTCAATGTACTGTTAACAGTACAGTTAGCAACCCAAGAGAACGTACTTTCGAGTTAGACACAGACATCTATTAATTTTAATTACCGTATAAGTGTTCGTCTTAAGCCGTACCATTGTTTGCTGTTCGTTTCAGCATCTTTGTAATTGCTTTCTAGTAGCTGTCATAAGAAGCACCAACCACGCTTTAGAAGTAATGACTAAGATTCTATGTTTCATATTTACAACTGGGTTGTAAGCCGTTTTGTGGTGATATGCTAGACCGCCTTTTTGCAACATGAATATCTTTCCCTGAAAGAACGGTTATATTCAGTTTATGAGGTCACTTATATTAGAATGATCTATATGATTTTAGGAAGAAAGATAGTTTTTGACCAGCCATATCAAAAGACAAAAAAACCCCAACGGACATCGTTATAAACTTGTACCGACTATGTTGACTCTTGTGTAACTCGTACCTTAGTTGCCTTCTGGCTCGTTATGCGATATTGATGATGCTTAACATAGGTGGGAATAAACTAAGATATTACATAAGTTTATAAGGTAACTAGCGACCTTTTTAGCCCTGTTAAAATGTGTGCTTATGTCCTTGTTTACAGAGATAATGGAAAGCAGTGTTTGTGAACCATGTATTTGATGGCTTAAAACTGCCTACACTACTGTGGATCTGTCCACTGTTTATCTCCTTTTGAATCCTTCTACTGTTCTTCATCCAGTCGTCATAAGTATCGTTCTTATTTGTTTGTTTATTTACTCAAAGATTCTAGTACATTAGGGGACCAATAATTGTGTCATACAAATGAAGTGATATTTTGAGGTAAAAGTTGAAAAGGGTCATAAAACTAATATATGTGAACAGTAGTGGCATTTAATTAAATATACAGCTCCTTTTAAAAAACTACCATCATGAAAGATCGGTTGATGGAATTCAGTCCACTTTTATCAAGCGTTTCATAGAAAACGACATCAGGGTCAGCATTCTTTGGATCTTCCCGTTTCTGTGGTCTTATCTTTCGTGCGTCTACCTTTGTTAGTGGTTTGCCTTATAAAAACTAGTCCAATATAATGTATTATTACGCATTTGGTTGTAAATCACACCTGTCGTCATGATGTGAAAATATCGAATTCCCTGACCTTTAGCAGCCATGCTAACTTGAACTTTAGAAATGAATACTTTCCATCTGGATGTTTAACCTTAACTATTTTCATAAAGTCTCTCAAAATACTGTTTGTTTCTACTTCTATGCGAAATAAAACTCTTTTTCTGTTTTTGTTGGTAAAAACTCAACATTTTTTTCTGTTAAAAATATAGGTACTTAATTGTTAACTTTCAATATGACATATTCAAATTCGACAATACCAACGCCGTGTTTGGATCTTGCTATGGAGGGTGAGAGATTTTGCCGTGAAGGGGATTGGAACAAAGGCATATCTTATTTTCTTAAAGCACTAGCAATCGGAACGGATGATCTTAGTTGCCTATCGGTCGTTTATTGTCAGTTAGGCAATGCTTATTTCTACCAACAAGATTACGCCAGAGCCTTGGAATATCATCGTTGGAACCTTGCTCTAGCTAGGTAAAACATATCTACCAATATTTATCGTATGTATTCACATTCATTCTTAGTTATTGTAAAAATGGAAACATATTAGTAAAGCTTTATAAACCTGATCTGCTTGTCATTTCTTGACAAAATATAACAATAAATTGGGGGAAGCTGATAAAAGATCAGAAATGTCATACAGGTCTTTATATACGTGTGCTTTTTACTTTTTTTAAAGTTTATTTTAAGTCAGGATTTAAGACATCGATTTTTCTTCAAGGCAGTGAAACAAATCTAAAAAGCAGTAAATACAGATATTCCCATGAGCTTACGTAAAAGTACTGATATACAAAACGGTCAGAAAATCCATCAACTCTGATTATATAATGGTTCAATAAGATATGGAAACTGTTTTATTGATCTTTTTCATAAGCTTTATCAACATTAAAAGTGGAAATATGTTAATTGAACATTCATTGTCAATACACTAACTATTCTGTACATTAAATTGTGATGGAGCTTTATGAAAGTTTCATCCCATGTTTATTTGGAAGGTATATTTAGGAGATACTATGTTCTAACCTTGGTGCAGTTCACATGAATAAATAATTCATAAGAAAATCTTATATGTAGCACTCAGTCGACTACATCATTGAGGTACAGAGATACTGTCCGAGCATCCATGAGTTTGATTTTTATCTGTTTCGCAAACATTTTTGGACTTTTTCGATATAGGAATAACCCATTTGTACCTTCAGATTTCAATCAATAAATTCTGTCCATAAACCGATGTAAATATTTTCGTAAATGATCACCAATTCACACATTTTATGTACATCCGAATTCCTGATATTTGTCAAATTTTCTCCAGGTATTGTTTCAAGAAACGATGGTTAACAGATGATCAGACATGGGAGCAGACATTAGTACTTTGTATTTGTGTCTTAAGGTGTTTGCTAACTGACTGACTTAAGGTGTTTATTTTATTCTTTTAATTTTATTGCGAAATATCAACAACTTTCGTCACTTTTGACTTCATTTATCTGTCATAAGTTGATGGTTCTAATTCGAAGAAAATCTGGAACTATTCCTTACAAATATGAAGAAAGTGGAGTAATTATCAAAGTTTTCGCATCTTGTAGGTAAATTGCATACCTTTATAATGTACATACAGACCATTATTATTGGTGTACAGTCTACCATAATTTGTTTTCCTTATAGAAGAATGGGTGATGGTATTGGTGAAGCATTCGCAACAGGAAATCTTGGTAATACACTTCAAATGATGGGCAAATATGACGAGGCAATAATGTGTTTCACACATGAATTAGCAATTGCTAGACAGTTAAATGACAAGGTAAATCTTTTGATTGGTAATTCTAATGACGTTACAAAAATTGCTACATCGTTCGATTTCTCTGTATTTATAAAAGATGTTTAACCTGAAAGATCATCTCTCTGCATAAACAAATAAGCTTTGCTAAATTGTAGTTATGTTAATCCGCGATTTTAGTGAGGTAGCCGTCTTGGTTCATTTTGGTTTAAAGCTAAACCCTACTTTCAACCAATCAGTTATTAGTTTAAACGATATTCCACGTAATTTGGTTTTGTCTGTCGGATATTATCAAGAATCAAGACATGAAACGTTTGGTTCAAAGCTGAGCACTTGGTTACTGGGTATTATCAATCCCTTTTTCATATATATTTGTCAACAACAAAAACCATGGACATCTAAATTATCTGGGTAGAAACACTGTGATTGTTTCTCATGTTCTATTCTATTTAACTACCTTAGAGACAACGTAGCGTGATCACTACTTCACTTCGGTTGAAATATGATATAATAATAATATATATAAACGGAATTTCTGATCCGAATGTATATACTTTTGATCGATAGAATTCGATTAGCATAAAAGTCTCAAAAATAAAATAAATTATCACTACACAGTAGTCAATCACTGCAAACATATCTGCCTTACAAGAAGCAAATCTCTTCCAAAATATCTAAATGGTAATGTCTCTGATAAAATGTAGAACTATGGGATGTGTGAATTCAAACATTTAGATGAGTTTCATTTTTTTCGATATATTACAAATACTCCGTGCTTTTCAGGGTTTTATCTTGACTGATGCCAACTAATTAGTATTCACGAAATTGTCTTTTCTTTTGCTAGCAAACTATCTTCATAACACGCTGTAAAGGCACTCTAATGGGTCTTTGGTTAACAAGCGTTCTTGTTTATAGGTTTGAATTTGTTATGTATACACTTTTGTTTTCTGGAATAAGGAATATTACGCTTATCAACTAATAATGAGAAGCGTAAGAACGTGACTACCGAGCGACAACTGCCAGTGAAATTGAATCTACTGATTTGTTTTATTCACAAACACTCCCTTAAGTAAGATCAGTCAAAATGACTTGACAATTAACCACATACGTAGGTTATGTTCGTCACAGATTAGTCTCAGTTGGAGTTCACAACTAGCGTACATTGGACAATTGTTTCTTCATAGCGAGATCGAACCCAGGATCTTCAAACCTTATGGTGGACGCTTAACAATTAGAACCACTGGATTAGCGTTCAACAGTGCAATCCAAACTTTACGATGTAACGTGGTGATAATCCAATGCAATTCGCTAAAACTTTCACTCTGGAAATGACAACTATTTTATTAGAACTTCAGGAAATCATCTTGAAGTAATTCATTATTGAACTGTCTATTACAGTTTAGTTGTAGAGGTTTTATTGAGTTTGTTTCAACATGTAGATTATTTTCATCGCATAATCTTATTCACCGTCGTCTCCGTCTTGTTACACAAAAGACAAAATGAACATGGTTTAATGAAAATACATAAATTATAGATTATTGGTATGAAAAAATCGCTAGATAATTACATAGCCAAATACTAAGTGATTAGTAAGTAATCAAAGTTTCAATGGATATATTTCATAATCATTTAATACTTATCGAGATTAATGATATTCCATTAACTTGAGATTATTATATCACACAAAACCAGTTGGATATTATTTAGATTACCTAGTTCTCTTCATGCCTAAACTGTTTTTCTTTTATTGTCATAAGAGAAAAATATTTTTCATTAAATGAATTTTATTTAAATTAGTTCTCATCATTATGTGATATTAATGATGCTTGTTAATTCATATGTTAAACAGTAAAGTTTTAGAATTGATCGGAGATAAATATCTCACAAAATTTTTGTTATTGTTGTTAATAATTGGTTGTGTAGAGAACAGAAGCTGGAGCTCTATACAATCTTGGTAGTGTATATCAAGCTAAGGGGAAACAATGGTTACCGGATTCTGGTGAATTTCCGGCTGATGCAGTTAAAGCACAAAGAAAAGCTGCTGAATATTACAAGTAAGTATATATATATATATTTCTTATTTTCTTCATCTCTTCCTATATGTCTATATTAGAGGTGCTTATATGAAACACTTACAAATGTATTTAGTTCTCAGTCATGTTTGTATTCTAATTTCGGAATAGCTTATGTTTATTGTAGGTGGAGTTTTATTCTCTTAGCTGGATGGTTTGGTCCTGGAGCTTTCATTGTTCTACTGAACAATATCATCAGCACAAACTTAAGGTAGTTTATTCGAAATTACAAATGAATTTGGGATTCTTCTGTCACAAAATAAGATCTATGCAAACTATTAGGTAGACTGGACGACTTAAACATAACAGTGTAACAATAATCTTCCAATCGATGGAAATAAATGAAACCAGGAACTTGGGAAAGAGGTCAAGATTGTTATAGAATGGCTCTGTTCTTATGGCAACAAAAATGAACCTGAGGCACACAAATAATAAACTAACATTGAGAACAACCAAACAAATAACAAACACCTAGGATCGTTGAGGAAAAATGAGCTGGAAGAAGTTACCATCCGCTTCCTTACACTCCGAAATTATCACTTATTAATAGAAACGAAGACAAAAAACTAATTAAGGTGGAGTCTCTGATAGTTTGATTTTTAAATCGGGTCCATTTATATTATGAATTGAAATTATTTATAATAATTAACTTGAAAAATACTGTGATTCAACGCTCAGTGATTTGCAATACGTTTATATGTGATTTCAGTGATGTGAATTATTTACTACTCAAATATTAGCTAGGTAGTAACTGTTGCACGATAGTTTTTATTATGTTCCATAGCCTAACAGTCTCAGGACTTAATCAATTACAGAATGAGTGACTTACACGCCGATTTCCTCTAGTTGCCTATGATATTTTATCATACTTATTTTGTGTTCATATTCTGTATTTTAATACATGAAAAGCCTACTCATCTGGTTAGATTAATTCAATAATACGGTTTTGTAAGCAGCTATCACTCAGCCACATTTTCATATCAAATGTCTGTCACCATTCTTCTCATTCCTTTTTGACAAAAAATTCGTCCCGTCAATCACTAAAAACCTTCTCTATAATGATGACGGCGGGAATGGAAAGTGATTTTGGAAATAATTATTATAACTGAGTGGAATTCACCGTTCTTTCACAATTATTGAATAACATAATGAAATGGCTTGAGTTATCTGAAAGTAAGAAAATTAGCATAAATCGACCATAAAAGTTTAAAAATACCTTTCTCTACTTTTTTAGTCTTTGAACGTCCTATGTATGTTTTCTATTCACCGTTTACTTGTCTTTTGATTCTGTATTGTGTGCAAATATCTTTCACCTTTTGTGATTTCCTATTTTCTGTACGGCTTCTAATGTTTATCAACTGAAACTAATGCGATTTCATTGACACCATGATCTGACCTAAGTTAGACGTTGAATGCAAACCAGGAAGCACTGAGCAGCTATTTCGTCCTAATGTAAGACGCCTCAGCAGTGCGCATTTGTGACCCTCCGGAGATCGAACCCAGGACCATCAGTCCCATGGTGAACGCCCAACTTCTAGACCGTTGAGCCGAAATCCGATTGTTCGCATGTCTAATACGATTTTATACAAAGCTATTTCATTATCTATCTTCTAGATATAACTTTTGGTAGTATTGTGTTCTCTAAGCTGGATGTTTAAATTGTGAACCTGCTTCAAGTAGAAAAAAAAGCCTCCTAATTATTCCACAGGTATCAAGTCATTTTGTTCTGATGACGTTGTTTCTAAATGATTGTCGTCTCAGATTTTACCATCTCTATGTGTCTTTGTGTTCACGTTGACTGTTTTGTTAAATTGCCCTTCGGTCATGTGATTTATTGATTTTTCCTGCGTATATTTATAAATCGCATTTATATATGTATGCCTTTTGACTCCAGGTTGACTTAAATACCATGCTTATAGAAATTCTCTGACATTATTAGAATCATATAGATCCAAAATTTTGACATTTTCTGAATCAAGTTTATGTCAATAGTTGTCTGTGTGCACTAATTAAATGTGTAGTACTACTCGACTTTACATTGTTACTGCGTGTTATTGCATGTCTAGGTGAAAAGAACCCCCACTTTTTTATTTCAGTGCTTCTTGCAGTTGAGAAAATTTATTTTGTAGATAATGTTGCATTTGTTATCACTGTTGTACCTACTAGTTCATAGATCTACAATTTCCTAACCCCTCAGGAAGTCTGAAAGTCTAATATTGATTAGGGGATTTGTTTAAAATCGACTCAACTTCTAATTATTACGTATAAATTTATTTACAATGTCGTTGGGTGGTAGACAGAACACTTTTGAGCGGTTGGAGGGTAGTCAGAGGAACATCTTGTACAGAGGTTTCATGCACGTTGAGACATCAGCAAGACACATGCAATATTACAAGAACTGATGATCCCTGTGTGATTTAAACCTGCATTACTCAGCTTCACAATCAGAGACATTATCATTGAACTATTCATGTCATGACTGACCTCTGTAGGACTGAGACATATTTACATTCAGCTATAGAAATTACATTTGAACATTATTAAATGATAAATGAAAGAGTTCTCTAAAGATAGCAAAAGAGAATGAACAACGCCTTACTCAGTAGTGTGTACTTACTGTCGAAGAACGCCAAATTGTTAAGAAATCCGTTATCGGATGCTCCTTGTTTCGATTCATTTTATTCATCAGCTGATATATTAGTCTAGGATAATAAAAAACAGCCACCTTCAAATAGGACTAATCTTTAAAAATCACTTAACTAAAAGTATTACGAATGATTTTGTATATTTAACTATAATCTGTCGATATTTATTGTTTAGGTTGTATATCAACTATGAGTATATATCGAGATACATTGAATTTTGGACTTATGAGTATTTAAATATTTTGTAAGACACTTATACTGCAGTGAACGAGAACTCGAATAGGAAAAACCAGTTTATTATTAAGTGCAAAATTACACAATGGCTTAGTAGTAGTTTGTTCTTGCTCTATTTAAATTCATAAAGGGAACTAATTGCATAAAATATATCATTTGCACAGCTTATTTGCCTTGTCCTTCATATACTCCATTATTCCTATAATTCTGTTATTATTTCGATTGCTCTTCGTTTTTCTTCTTGTTCTCTTCATCTCATTCTTCTGTTGCTAGGCCACCCGCTTGTGTACATACATACTACTTATATGTGTCAGTATAAGTAGCATACGCCACAATACCAGTTGTTTCCTTTCTTCTGTAAACCGATAAACATATATATACGCTAAATTTCCCTTGTCTTTTCAGTTTTATTGTTCCATACTGTTTGACTACAGTTCATTTGATATTCAACTACTTTATAGTGATGTATTTGACTTTAAAACATTAGACTACCTTATTTCTATTTATTACACTGTTATAATTTCTTAATATCCGGGTGAAAAATATCATGAGCTTTCATGTATTAGGTTCAACACAATATATTTCAGATTTCATTTATTTAAATTTTCGTATTGTTTTTTTTCTATGTAGAATGGGTCTTGAATTAGTTCGAGCACTTGGTGATCGACCTGCTGAAGGTCGAGCTCTTGGTAGTCTAGCAAATGCTTATTATTTACTGAGTAACTTCACTGAAGCAATTGAATGTTATAGAGAAGTATGTATTAGCTATGATCATTATTTTTACTTCCTATAATTGTTTGAGAGTGATATATGATCTTTCCAAGAAAAATACTCAAACTGAAATAATTAAATACTTTACTTTTGGGAAAAAAATTGAATATATCAATATGACTCTCGTTTGTTTAATATACCTGTTATATCTCCATTCTCACTGTCCCAAAGCATCCTTATAAGTTAAATCCTTAGGTTAACTTGTTATATTTAAAGCTTTATCTCCTGCTAAACCAGAAATTAATAGAGTTTATCCAGAAAGAGAGAGAGAGAGAGTGGAAATAAGTGTATGATCAATAACAACGCGATGATAAAATACGCATACTGAACAACAATAGAAAATGCAACAAATGTAAATAATTGGAAAGTAACAATCATGTATATTTTAAGAAAATTACATTAATTCATCGATAAGAAGCAGATGATGATGGATATTGTTTAGTTCTGTTCATAATTAACAGCCATACATGAAACGACAAATTATTTTTTTAAATTGATGTATAGAAATCTTGTCCTTAGACAACGCACATAAAGGATCACTACAGATTTTTTCTTTAACTAATCTGATGAATTCGTAAAGTACAAATACTGTCCATGTCATACTTCTAAATGTAAAAGAATTGATATAATTTTTTTAAGTAAAGTTGAATAGGGGTTAGTTAATGAACTCAGAACGTTCGTTCAGTCATATTTGAGACTCATTCGGTGAATATATTTGCGTACTTGTTGATGTTCACTCCAGGACTCGAACTTACTGCCTTTCGTTTCATACGAGAAGAGTTAAACACTTACCTATTTGAACTCAGTAGCTAAACTGATATGTTGGGTGTTTGAGGCGAAAGGTGATGGGTTCAAGTTCCGGCATGACCATCAACACTGCTTAACAGATATATCTAGTTGGCGAGCCCAAAATAAGGCGTAACTCATGTACTGGATTCCACTGCTAACCGATATTCAACTCTGCTTAAAAGTGCTTGTGACGTAGTGGCAACATTGAGGCCCTTCGCTCCGGATACACATATGTTAACAGAGACTAATCAATTGTGATCCGTAATATCAAAACTGGAAGATTTAAACGTTTACAAATAAAACATGGTTAACATAATTACTAATCTATCTATGTTTATAAAAATCGAATAACAGAATTGTAAGCATAGGCCAAATGAAGCAAATAGTGATTATTAGTGTATGTGTCGCGTGGGAAAATTTGATGGTGGTAAACATTCAAAACCCTATAATGAACTTTTAAACGTTTCCTGTGGTTATTACATTTGTCTAAAAAAATTGTATATTGCACTATACTAGTCCTATACACCTGTTGTATTTCCAGCTTGGCTAGGTGATTAATTTACTTAAAATAGTCTACTCGCACTAGCATCTCATATATAACATGTGATGGTGAAACAGCATACAGTCTGTTAAGAGTCTCCTGACCTGCACAGTTAACTCGCGAAATATTGCAAAACCTGTAGTCATTTGGGTTCAGTACATGCTGAGGCTGTGAATAGAAAGTACCAAATAGTTTTCAACTAAGATGTGAGACATCTGTCAAACGCTTCTGCATTATTTTGTATTCATAGGTTACTAGTACTCTATCATAGATACCTTCAGAGGGTTGGTCGTATATGTCGGAATCACCAAGTAAGCGATGTTAAGGTTAAACTCAGGATACTAAGTAAGGATGGCAAATCGATTGGTGAGGTAATGAATATTTATCGATTGAGATTATCGCGATATGTATTATGGATGTCCAACCGCTGCTCTCTACCTCAGTGGATGATGATGGCTGATGTAGGAGTGATTTGGAAGAAAGCTGGGGGTAACTAAACCAGCATGTGAGATCAGTCCATGAACTTGATGACTGTTGAAATGAACTATGTAGACGGGTGTCGACTATTTGATTGGTGTCCTTCCGACTAACATAACCCATGGTTAGAGTCTGGTTGGGTTTAGTCAAATTCGTTTTCACTGGGGCAGATCCATTCGCTCTTTGTCTTCCTTTTAGAACCTGAGTTTTCAAAGTATCTCGAAAAATCCCTTTACTCTACGAGTATACATTTCCCTCGAATCATATTGTCTATCCCTAATGCATTCTACTATCACTTATACTGCTATAACCTATGCTACTCTGATATCTAGTTGTGCAGATGTGGTGTGGTAACTTAAACCAGTCGACTGATATGTCAGGTTCTAAGTTGTGTATGGTTTACTGATGTTGTATTCATCACAAATAAGTCTCAGTTAAGCTACTATTGAAAATAAAGAAGCGCTGGATAGCTGTTTAGTCATATTATGGGATTTCTCATCTACTTTGTGCTTTCTGCCAGGAGTCGAATTTAGGATGTTCAGGTCTTGCAATGAATGTTCAATCATTAAATGAACCTGTAAATCATCATTCACCAGTACAATTCAAACTCTAATCAGTTTGCAATATTTATTGTGACCATCATTCAGTATAGTTTGATATCTATCTATGATTAAAAATATCTTCTAAAACTGAATTATTTCATCATACTTATAAAGAAAGTTTCATATATTTAATCGTTGATTAATACATTGAATAAGTGTGGAATATAATTGTTTGGTCGGAAAAAAAATCGACCTAAAAGAAATGAAAATTTTCACATTGGAGTTAGCATTACCTCAACCACTTTCATTACTTTTTATTCATTTCATAATTTTTTTTTCTCTCCTTCTTTTAAATATCTACTTGGTTTAGCGTTTAAAAATTGCTAAAGAATTTGGTGATCTAACTGCTCAACGACGTGCTCATAGTAATATCGGTAATGCATTTATATTTTTAGCTGATTTCAATGCAGCGGTTGAACATTATCGGTAAGATTGTTTTATATTCATTCGAAAGTAAAAAATCTGCTTTATATTTTTTATTTCTATCAGCAGAAAATATTAAGGTATAAGAATTTGTTTAAGATTTTTATTTATTATTCCTTCTGTCCTAGTATTAATGATAAACTAAATTATATTTATAAGAAAAATATAAGTGTAGCTGTGATGGATGCCACCTGTGTTGACAAATATCAGTAGTATTTAACATCAACCAGGAGTAAAATGCATGGCAACAAAAGATTGAGAAAATCGAATCGAATATTACAAGGATGTAAACAGAGATTAATCTTAATAACAACAAGAATGAAGAAATGTTAAAGTTTGTGAGAGACAACTGACGGAAGATGTGCAAATGAAGTATTTAATGTATAGTTTTCATATTTTACCGAGGCACTGTAATTTTGCACTAAACAATTTGTTGGTTTTCCCCAATGATCGGGTAAATTTTGTATTGTATATTAAGGGTTAATTTAAAATTTTTTTTCCTATATTTTAGTTCTTAAAATGCTTACAATTGATAAGTATATCTGTTGCACAATTTTATACAATAAAAATGATATGATGTATAAGTTCAATTGCAAGAATAAACACTACTAATACAGATTATTTCTAAAACTCTTGTTACTGATTGAGCCTACTTAATATATAGTTCAGAGGATATGGTCAAGGATATGTTATTTGATATTTCTGGGTCTGTTTATGCATCATAAGCCCAATAGATACACAGATATTATTGACTTTTGCTTGTTATGTGCGATCAAGGTCTACCATCGGCGTGTATATGATCAGAGAGTCTGCAGTTTTCTCATCTTCCTCTCCTTCAAAGATCCTGTTATAATTATTGAATCGTTGTCCATACGTGGCATTTCTTTTACTGGTGTCTACAATAATAATATTGAAGCAATGTTGTTAAGATCGAAGAATTCTCATATAGGCCCTTAAAGAAAAATGACTTTGAAACTTACGAACAAGTGTTTGTATCAGGCTTAATTTAATTTTAATACTGATGCATCTTAATAAGTTTTTTTTATCATGTTTATTCTTATTGAGTAGAGTTACTGAAGGTCTTCAGTAAATAGTTTAGTCGTTGAAAAATTCCCATTATATTAAAACACAGTTATATGAACGAAAAATATTCTTTTCAATGAATTTCTCATCTGGTTCTACAATTCATAAATCCAAATTAATAATCCATAAAATTGGCCAGATTTAAGGCAGAGTAAATCATTTGGAAATTGTAATATGTGAATTGAGAATTGTTGTTTGTTATATAAAATCAATTCAGATCGTTAATGTTGGGGCTGTTTAATATAAAGTGTTAACTTGAATCAGTTTATAAGTGAAATGAAATTGTGCGATAAATGATCAGAATAAATACGGTCAACATGGGGTGAGAGAAAATAATGGAATAAAAGTCGAAAATTACGTAATATGTAGAATAATATGAATTAGGTCAAATATAGTAGATTTAGGGGTGGATACTGAATAAATTTCTCAAAAAGGTTAACAAGTGTTATTATTATTCTCTTTTTATCCTTCAGTATTAATTATATTGTGTATAAGTTACGTTAACAGATTCACCTAGAGATATTCGATTCATAGCCCATGTAGAGCTTGGCACAAATGCACATTAGCTAAAATTGCCTTGCAACGTCAATGCGATAAGATGAAATCAACATTATAAATCCAAAAGAGGTCATATCCCAACAACTTCAGTTCATAAAGATATCTAACCTCATTAACCGATTTGCTGTCTTTGCCTAGCACTCTACACGTAAACTCAACATTTCTCACTCAATGTTTCTACGATACACGGGTAATATTTCTAGTGCACTGATCAGAAACTTGCAACCTACGCATGTCGTCTACTTTTATAAATCATGCTTCATAACCAGAGAGCTATAGAGAGCGGGTACTATTCAGTATATTTGTCCTTTGTTTTACAGATGGCCTCGATTCACATTACATGATCGTATACATTAAAACCGTGTACACTAGTCTGTACTTGATAAATGGTTATCGAGGAGGGAGTTAGTGTATTTTATCTGTTAGGATCAGGTCTATGTCCACCCTTTTAATCCACAATTTTCACACGAGAGCCAGTGATAATAATCGATTGATCAAAATGACGTAGGTGAAGAGAACTCAGAATCTGCTGGTTAAAATCCGAGCATTTTAATTACGAAGTCACCTCTCTACGCTTGGTAAATGAGTTACGTAAATAATGTATCTTTACAAACTTTTTGGACCCTAGCAGTTGATTGTAATGTCAAGTGAGATGACTTTTAGGCTAGTTACACCATTAAGTCCATCCTCAAGCATCCTTATAATTGTTAAAACAACGTAGAGTTCAACTAACCAACTCATTGTTCAAAGTTGTCGCAATTCAAAACAAAATATTGTCAGAAATTAATGCGAAGAAAAACTCAGATATATATTTTAGGAAAAAATGTTTGATAAGGAGGAGGAAATAAGTACAAAATAATGAAGCGTTTACTAATTAAATCAAATTAAAGAATAATTTTACTTAAATCTGAAAGAGTGGCTTTCAGCTATCCTAGATCATAACGTTTTAAAAAAGTTAATTCATTATATATCTTTGATTTCAGTCCAGAAGTTCAAGCTTTCCTAAACGACTGTTACTAACTTTATGCTTGAGTTCTTTTATTCTTTCCACCTTCTGTTGACACTGACCAGTAAGACTACTTTTTTTAAGTTTATAACCTCATCAAGTGATTTTCCTCATTGCCCACTGTACTCAGTGATTCTGTCATACTCAACTATGACTCCAGAAGTACTGATGATAAAGAGATGACTTAGCGGTTAAGAAGTTCAACTTTCAACCACTCATTCACAGGTCCGAATTCCTCTTCACATATTTTATTTTGGGCAACCGGGTGGTATCACTAATCCTAAGAGCCAAGTACCTGAGTCTCTGCCTGGTTGGTGAGTTGATAATCAGGCCCCACTCAACATTTCTTTCTGAATTAGCTTTATTCGAATTTTATGTCTGTGTGTACTTCTCTAACTAATTTTCGTTATTGTAACTTTTCCCCTCTTTATTATTTCTTTCCGATTTATGATATGTTTTTAAGAGAAGCATTACAATTATCAGTACGTTTAAAGGACACATCACTTGAAGCTCAAGCTTGTTTCAGTTTAGGAAATACATTTATTCTGTTAAGGGACCCAAGTACTGCTGTTGTATTCCTATTGAGACATCTCATTATTGCTCGTGGTCTATTCGATCGTATAGGTGAAGGTCGAGCACATTGGTCATTAGCAAATGCTTATACTGCCTTAAAAAGATATGATCTAGCTTTACGTTGCTCTAAACGTCATCGTCGAATTGCTCGTCAGGTAAGCCTTCAGTTGATAATTTGTTTACTCTATGCATTATATGATGAACTTCATTTTTCTTATAGTACCAAAATGTTTAACTAGGAATGTTCTTCAAACTGTCCTATTGATATTCATGGATTTCATCGAAATCATGGAACAATCTAAATTAAAGCACCGTTTAAAATCTGGAAGCATTGAACGGCCATCTCATTCTAGCGTAGGACCCACACACGCAGGTCCTGAGATCTACTCCCGCGCGTAGGATCGTGGATAGAAATCATGATTATGAAGTTTCTTATCACATAACGACTTTAGTTGGACAGCCATTGGGAACCAGGAAGTATTCAGTAGCTCTTCCATCCTAGTTTGAGATCCTTGACTAGTGTACATCCACGACCCTACAAGGTATTCAACCTAAGATCATCAGGGCTCACAGCTAGTGCCTAAGCTTCAGATCACTGAGCTCCCATCTAATTTTATATATTTCTAGCCATAAATTCAACAATCTCCACAACACTGTACAATACCGTTTGTGATTATATCTAATGTTGATAACGTAGGTTATGTATAAAGTTAAACTTGAAGTGTCAATCGACTGGTTGATCACCTCAATCGAATCGTTTGTGCATTCTTCGGAAGAAAGTAAATGTAATCGGATAGTAACTTTTACGCAGTTGATTGTTCAACGATGATCCGTAGTGTCGCGATTTGGTCTGTGCACGACCGGTTCTTACGGAATACGACCTGTCAATCTCGGAGTCGGGCTTCTATTGAGTCTTTCGTCCGGTTCAGCAACGCTCTGTTGAAAATTATTTCTTGGTACCGATAGTAGTGTGATTCTTCTGTAGTTCCCACACTTGTTCATATCTCCTTTCTTTGCTATTCGTATGAGTTATCCTTCTTTCCAGTCCGTCTGTGGCACTTGTTCTTCCTCCCAAATCTTCCCCAATAGAACGCGGGTCATCTTTGCAGTTACTTCTAGTTCTGACTTTAGTGCTTCGGCTGGTATATTGTTGGGTTATGCTGCTTTCCCACTCTTGATTTGTCTGACGGCCATCTTGATTTCTTCGATCGTTGGTGGAGTGACATGTATAGGATGGTCTGTGTGTGCTGCTTCGATATCCAGTGGATTCAATGGAGCTGGCCTATTCAAGAGTTCTTCAAAGCGTTTTACCCATCTGTTCCTCTGTTCTTGGGTCTCAGTGATTGGCTTGCCTTCTTTGTCCTTAACCGGTTTCTCTGGTTTACTATAATTCCTTATCAGTTTCTTCGTCGTGTCATATTTCTTTCTCTTGCACTATTTTCCGCTGTCGTTGCTAGCTATTCCACGTATTTCCGCTTGTCGGCTCTGATGCTCTTCTTCACTTGCTTTTTTCGCTCCTGTGTATCTATCTTGTGTCTTGACTTTCTCTGTTCTTGTTCGTCTGTTGTTAATTGCTGTCTTATTGTTCTTCCGTCCTTGAATTTTACCCACGGTTTCCATAGAGATCCAGACCTACTCTTCAATTTTTCTGTTTATTTCTAAATACATAATATTTTACACAAATATAAATTTTTAAATTATAAAAATCTTTTCTTTTATTTAATGTTTATCGTATGTCAAAAAGCGGAAAAACAAGATAAGAAAAAGAATTAGATGGGTTTTGTTGTTTCATCATTTTTCATTTTAAGAATGAAAAGCTGATTTCTATTTTCGTCCTCTTCCTATCCTTGTTTTTCATAATGCTTCCTCTTTTTTTCTTTCCTTCTCTCGCTCACTCACACATTGGATTCGTTTTAACGTGTACAAACAAATATTTAAATTATTTCATCTGGTTGATGAACGAACATACACTTGAATCACTATGCATGTAATAACTTCACACACACTAACACGCGTACCCACAAATATTTATTACGCAATGCGCATATATATATATATATATATTATATATATATATATATATAGCTGGGTGATACCACAGGCTATATGACTGCTCAACTGATGATTGGTGAAATCTGTAACTTAATGACAAGTACACAAACAGAATGCTCTACTCTGATTGGTGTTTCTTGTAAAAATGATCAAACGGACTCACAATCAAACAATTCAAATTCAACCATAAATTATTCGTCTGTACAACAGAGTTGTTTACTGGATATAAATAATTCGAAATTAAATGAAAATATTCTGTTCTTAAAAAATAACCATAAATTACCATGTGGTGCAAACAATAACAAATGTTGCATTGATGGGAATAACAATAGTGTCAGTACTAATACTACTACTATTTCTAATCCTACTAATACTATTTTAACAAATAATAGTTGTACTGATATTAATTTTTCAAATAATCCTCCCATTGATCTTCATATTACTGATGGAAGTAATTCTAGTCTAATAAATGGATTAATTTCACAGTCATTATTGGATTCCTCTAAAACAATCGATCCCTCTGCAAACACTGACATTGTTAGTAGTCGAATAGAGATAAAAAGTTCACAATCAACTGTAACTAGTAATTTTTCTACTACCACTGTTCCTTCCCCTACAACTGTAACAGCGAATATAATTGATAGTAATCATACTACTGAAAATCATTCACATAAAGTAGTAATTAACAATGATAATGGCAACGATGATGATAATAATCAAGATGATCTAGATTTGGAATTGGATAAAGATTTAGAAAATGAATTACTTGAAAATTATGAAGGTATACTTGAAACAGTGGAATTTGTAACTGTTACAGAAGATGGACAAACTGTCACTTCACAAATGGGTTGTTTGGGTAGGTTTAGATTTACTTTTTTGTTGTTGGTAATTTAATTATTTTTGTAAAAATGTTTATTCTGTTGTTTAAAACAATGAATTCCTTTGAAGAAATAGGATAATGCAATGAGAAGACAGAATTAATCCAAATGATGTAATCATACATGTGTGATAGGAAAAATATTACACTGATATACCACATAGTTCTGATAATCTTCATCTTGTAATTACATTATCCACCTTTTCTGCTGTATGCCTGAACACCGTTTACCACGACGCACAATGCTGACTAGTGTTGGGGATGGTTGGAAGAAAGTTAGGTGCGGCCAAACCAAAATGTGCTTGAAGTCACTAACTTCTAGTCTGAGCCATGTTGGTAGATGCAGACTACTTGGTTGGGGTCCACGTGACTGTCGTAACCAATGATTGGAGACTGTGTGATATGGCTCAGAATTGATCACAATGGAGTAGGTGTATAAACTCTCTGTCTTCCCTTAAACTATGAGATTAAAATGGCTTTATATCTTTCTTTCTACGAACTAATTCTTTCTTCCTGTACTACATTACTACCATTGAAGTGACTACCTCTATGAATTTGGTGTTCATCTTGTTGTGCTAATGAGGTGTAACCACTTGGACCGACGCATATATGTGCTTGGTCCTACGTTGTAGTTGACTGACTTTTCTGTTGCTATTATTGTTGTAACATATAAGTGCTGAATCGGTTAGTCTGTTGACGATAAATTTCACTGATTGATTTTATGTGATTGTGCTAGTAAGCCACTGAAAACCAGGTGGAGGTCTGGACAGTGGGTTGTTGCTAGTTCGAAACTCTTCAGCTGTTCTTATCCACGACCATACTGGAAAGTGCTTAGTTTATGACCTTTACTTCTTGTGACAGGTATGGCACCTTTATATTCCTACCAATTTCGCATGAATTCCATACACAGACCTTACCTAACCAAAACATTTGAAAAGCCAACCGATTTGCTTTATGCTGTTATGACTCAATAACCCACATGATATTGTTCATCAATTAAAAGACCACAACCCATTGTAAATAAGTAATCATAATTCATGCATGATTAGGTCATATTATGATACAGATATACAATTACTTAACCTATAGTTTATAAACGGGCCAATATACTTATGTCACAGTCTCTACATTGGCGATTACCAACTGACTGACAGGAGTTACAGTTTGCGGAAGATATTAGCATTTCCCTTTCAGTTATGTATAATGGACTATTTGTTTAGCTGAAAAGATTTCGTGGGAATCGGTCTAATTTGTCAGTTGTATTCGTCATAAATTAATCTAGGTTGGAATACCATTTAAAACTAGGGGATGCTAGATAGTTGTTTCGTTTTAGTGTATAACTCTGTTATCCACATTCAATGGTTCTAATGGTTAGGCGTTCACCTTGTAACATGGAGGTCCTGGGTTTGATCCTTGATAAGATCATCAATGTAAAGTGCTACTGAGAGTCATATTAGAATGAAACAACTGTCTAGTACTCTCTAGTTCTCATTGGTACCTCAGTATATAATGTGTACAAGCTATAGAATAATTATTTATCATTCATATATTTTATTTTCATCCAATCAAAACCTACAACAGGCATAAAATATTACTGAATTAGGTTCCTCCTTTACCAGATATCTCTCATAGTTTGAATAGAATTTTCATTATTAACTGGCATCATTTGTTGTGGTAGAAGATCTTAGCTTCACTCAGTTTCTTAAAGCCATAGTTTCACACTATTGAAGAATATTAAACTATGACCAAATATCTCCTACCTGTCACGAGTTCTTCAACCGTATGACTTTTCTTGATGAAAAATAACCCACAATTTATAATAATTATTATTTGGTATCCTGTAGTTTGTACAAAATCGTTTAAAAATAATTATGTTACATATAAAAGTATGATCATAACTGTAATAAAAATGATATCACATTAGGATATATATAGATAGAAAATTGATACAAATTATAATCGACGTTTATATGCTTCTATCATAAGTAAATATACATTGTATGGTAGTAATAATGGTAACACACTGAGATCAAAAGAACAAGTCCTAGTTGAACCACAATAAAATGAAGAGGGAGATGGAGAGAGGGGAAGGGAAACGTACTATTGTTTATTTCATACTTCCCTTTTAATTTATTCATCTCTGAACTATATGTATATAAAAATCTGCTATTTTAACAATTAGCTATATCCGACTTTGTTTTTAATAATTGTATTTAGCATTTATTAGTACAATTCAAATAAAATGGTGAATGGTAATAACTGTAGTTTACAATCTTACTGATAATCATAAATCTGTCTTTTAGTAAAGCTGAATTGTGCTTAACAATAGAATCCAGGAAACGCTGACTATATCTCAGTTTTAATTTTACCATTAGAACTCTGACATATTGAATACAATTTCAAAGATTAACGAACTATCCAAAACCTAGATATATTAAAATGTGTTGGTAAAATAGCTATATCGATTCAATCTACTTAGGATAAAGATAATGACAACATAAACTGATCAATTACAGTCTTGACTATCAACTTGAAATCTCAAACCATATTGTTTACAATTTCGTAATCGTTGAACAGCTTAATGGTTATCTGAATTGAATAGCTCAGCGGATAACTCATTGGAGTTTGAAGCAAGTTACTAGGTTCGAGTCTTAGTGTGAACATCTAAAGTGGAATGGAGATAAATACGGCTAACAGGTCTCTAGTAGGATGAAATGCATGTCCTGAACTCCATTAAGCCCCACTATTACATCAAAGCGTTAGTTCCTAACTGTTATACTAAAAGTGGTCAATTACACAAAAACATGCCTTAAGTAAACTAGTTGCTTTAATTTCATTTGATTGTAAAATTTCTATCGTGTCTCATATACCTTATTGGTTGGGTTACTTACCAATTAGTTTTATTTTATAACACCATAAAAATATACTAATTGCTAATGGGATACTCCTAAAAAGACATATTTTTTTAGCAATCGATATGAAATTTCTATTTGTATGCATGAGAATTTTCATTTCACAAACGTTTCAAATGTGAAACAATTTAGATAGTTTCTACCAAGGAATGTTTTCTTGTCATAATAAGATATGGTGTCTAGTATTTTAACAGTAACAAATAGAGTTTGATATGATGTAATTTACATGTTTACTTATTTACTACATAGAATGAATTCTTTTCGCATTTATGTTTATTACGCTGTATCATATTCATGATATCTGTGGTGAGTATTATCCCATCATTATTTCAACTATACAGTACAGCACATACTCCTGGTTAGCATTCACTACCCAAGGATATGTACATTAATATGATTAAATATGACACCAAACATCCACAAAAGAAATGAATGCGATTATCATCCCCTCCAGCCTTGATTACTCTCTAACATTGTCCTAAAACAATCGACAAGAAAAAAATAGAAAATCAAGAGTTCTATTTTCTCGAATATCGATGAAACAGTGAGAAGTGTGAGAGTTTTAGGACACTGTAATGTAAAGATGCCGACTTATAAAAGTATCATTTTTATCGGTTTGTTCTGTTCGATGTATTTTGAGCGTTATCAGATTTTTCAGCATTGATCATTTTAACGTCAGACGTCATTACAATATTTTCTGTAAAATATGTTCTGTCTGGCATTATATGACTTAGTAAGTAGGCCAATATTCTTTATCTCATTATTATTATTAATCTGGTCACTGATCTAAATATTTTAGTTACTAGAAGTAAAAATGTAGTAATGAATTTTTCTCGCTTGGATATCATTGTTCGAAATTGGGAAGTTAGCAGACTAGTGGTTTAAATGGTTAAAAGATCTAAGCAACATTTTAATTTCAGTAATATTTGTATGATTGATCACTTATATATTGAAGGAAATAAGTGTATAAATTCATGCATTGGCATGTTTATAAACTCGTAGATCATTATATAGTTCATTTTAGCATAACAGGTTTATGGGAGATTGTCAACTTTGTAGTTGACGGCGTGAACTGACCTAAACTAGACAGTCCTGGGAAGTCAGAACGTATTGAACAACTGTTTCGCCTATAGTACGGGGCTCTTCAGCGGCACAAACCCATAACCTCACCAGAACTAGTGACTAACTTCGAATGAAATTTTCAAGTTCCTAGTAAGAGGGAGTAACAAGTGAAGTTCAACCATGTCGAACGTGAAAGAGTTATCACCAATATCAATAAAACATCGTAAATTGAGTCGAATAAAAAATATAAAACCATTAGTCTGAGCTCAGAGGTCTAGAAATAACGTCCTCATTATGAGATCTGAATATCATGGGTTTGATCTCTGGGAGAGAGTTATGAGTTTACACTATTGAGAAGTCCTGTTTTTAGAGAAAAACAGAGCTCCCTAATATGTCCTTATTTTTAATGGTTATCTAGCTATTCTTAATTCATCACCTTGATCAGAAATAATTATTTACTGCATATGATCAGTATCAAATGATTCATTCCATGTAATAAACAAATAACAGTTGTTTTATAGATATTTTCCCCTATATTATTATTTTTCCGTAGTCTCTCTCACTTTTACTAAAAACAGTTTAACAATTCAGCATATTATTAAAAAGTAGGTTTTAAGCGTTTATATGACTCGACAAAATATCTCGTCCTATTCACTTCGCCTAACGATGTCATCGAAATTCTGTTTGAAATAGAAGTTGCTTTCCCGTAAAAAATGTCCATAGTCAAGTAAATGGCTAGTGTTATACATCACTTTTTATCCAGTTGTGGAAAAAACATCGACATATAACCAATATATATATATATATATATATATATATATATATATATATATATATAGCGCCATCCTATGTATGCAAGATAAGTGAATTCATTCTGACCATTGGTTGGAGACTCGATGACATAGTTTAGAATTGGTCACAATGACATGTGCATTCACTATTTGCTTTACTTTAGATTTTCAGTTCTAAAATTATCTTATACTTTATATTTCACAAACTAATAATTTTTTTCGAGTCATACTATCTATGCCTGTTTTGTACTACAGTTGATACTTGGAAACTTGAACTGATGCACTTATTTGTATACACCAGATTTTACGTTGCTTGTGATTGATCTATTGAGTAGTGAATTCGTCAACTGGATAGGCGCCCAAATGCCCTGGTACGGCCGAGAGTGGGCAGAGTCCGCTCTCCCTCTCGAAATGCTCTCACATGGTCACGCGTATATAGCCTCTGCCAGGGAAGTCCTACTCACTGCCTTCTCGTGGCGGGGTTGTTGTTTACGAAAATGGGAGGATGAAAAGCGAATGTCCGGTGCTTTAACCGGATTCCAAACCAATGGTGCACATGGGCTCCAGTATCCTGCGGGGACAAATGGCGTATGAACCAATTGTTGGTCACTGGCTTCCATGGGACTGCATCTCCTGACGATGCTCCACTGCCTTGCGAGTCAGACCTTTAGGTCAAAAGCTCGCGGTGTGGTCCCCTAAGAAAACCACCTGCTTTGGTCTGGGCACCCGGGCAGTATCACAGCCCTCACACATATCGAATGAGATTTGTGTGGTGCATATGTATTTGGTGCCTCTTTGTATCAATATCTATGTGTTGAAATAGATAAATAAATAAATAAACAACTGGATAGAGTTTCTTAGTATTTTTTAAATATTAAATTCGATAAACAGAGTAAAGATCATATGTGTCCACTTGCACCTTGATGATAACACCATTATGGTATCGAGGATTTCTTGTCTTATATAATCATTACCTCAATTTTGTCTTGTTGGTACTTGTATTTTATTGGAATTATTGTTTTTTAACTATGGTTTTTTCTGAAGTCCCTGACTCAATATTGATAGTCGATTAATCACTAATCTTTCAGATTTATATATCCAATTGTATCAGTATCTGTGAATCTTTTGTGATATTTACACAATGTTTTCTAATTATATTATTATACAGATTCTGTTATTCACTTTTTTGGGTATTAAAAAATGACTCACTTTTGTTATTTACCGTAATTAATATTTGTTCGATCAAAGACAAACTATATTTTTCTCCTTTTTGCAAATTATACTTGAAATGAAGTGTTTGTTTCCCAATAGTTTCATCTCAGTTTTTGTCATCAGGGTACTGTAATTATAAATTAAGAACGATTGAGATTATTCTAATAAAAACAGGATCCAATGTAAGCTAGATAAGCCGAAGACTGACATACATCACCTTGATGATAATTCGTAAGTCACTGGGGGACACCGGGGAAAATTAGGTAATCATGAAAATATAATGTTCAACAAGACTAACTTAGAGTAGAACACCATATATATATATATATATATATATATATATATATATATATATATATATATATATATATATATATATATATATATATATGATGAAGGGACAGTAAAATAACTAAACTAAACTCAATCGAATGACGGAAAAGGTTAGTGCAAACATGAATTATAAGAAAGTTATCACAGTTATTTATTCACGCAAGAACTAGCACTTAATATGCGGAAGTTCGGTAACGTGTATTCGCGGTAAGTGACGACAATCCGATTAGTATCACTATCTTGCAACACCGGCTTCGGTGCTTGGATATGTACTACTAATGCCGTCCCAGGAAATTCCACATTGTATTATTTTCCGACACTGGGACTGGTTGGAAAAAGCGGAGATATCGTCAGTTTGTGGCATGGTACCGTGGTTTGAGAGAAAGTTTTACACAACTGTCATCTGTTAGTCATTTATGACTCCATGATTAGGAGTGGGCTTTTGAATTTGTGACTGAATTAATTGGAGTCGAATGCTTTTTTTACTGTCATAGACACTACAATTACTTGTACTAATACTGTACTAAACATTTGGTTAACATTTTGTCATTATTGATAATTTAATGTCATGTGGTCATTGAGGACGACGCACATTCATGCCCAGGTCCTAAGTCGTTTAAGTAACTATTTGACTGACAACTGTTCTTTTATGCCAATATAAAGTACAGCAACTGAAATACGAGAGTTAACGATAAGTTTTACTTACTTTGATTATGTCTGTGCCATTGCCTTTTTGAAATCCTTTATTGGTCATCGATACTGGGATTAAATGAATAAAAGTTCTAAATAGTAAACCACTTAATGTGTTTATCAATGTTTACCGAATCACGTTGCCAACTATGCTTTTTAAGTCCAATAGAGTAATTTAATGTCTTGCAGACTATCTATTGCATATATCTTTAAGTCTTTACCCAAAATCAGAAGTAGCTAAAGCAAGGTTGCTGATTAAGAACTATGTATTCTAGCCACAGCAACCACCACTACACGATTATCATGATCAGTGGTTAATGTTGTGTGTTAAGACGTAGAGTCGGTCACATTGGCTTAGATGCATCCATTATTTCGTTTCCCATAGATCCTGAGTTTCTAAATCATATTTTACTTTTTGATCACACGAATCATTTCTTTTTCGAATTCTATCAGTGACAACGTTACTACTTCCGCCACTCTGGAATCTCACTGTGCTGATGTGGGTCGGCAAGTTTTACGTCGCATACGACTTACTGACTCACTAACCTCCTAGTTGTGATGCTTTCTGTCTACTAATTATTGTTTAGGCTTCTTTCTATGTAGTTATTTAGCTCATATATATTTTAAGCATATTTTATGAAGCTACAAACTTTGTTGATTTTGTCTTGAGGATGGAGTTTCCAACAATTTCTTATGCATTGGATGATATTAAATGATTTATATTGACCAACCACATGATGTTATTTTCCTGCGTTTCTTTTCTTATATGACAATACTATCATTAGTATAGACGCGGGTGGTTGTGGAGATAGTTGTATTATGTTATGACTTCTGCCTCTGTCAATTATCACGTGACAAAATCGCCAATCAGAATTCCGACTTCTATGACCTTGTTCCTGTGCTAAACCAATGACATATCAACCAGAACTAGCCGTCTTGCGTCAACTCTGAATCCCTATTAATCCTCAAAATAGTAACTTTCCGCGTAGCCCTGCCCGTCGAGTCCAGAACAATCTCAGACACATGTAGTTTATATACAAGCAAACCAGACCACATCACACCGTAAAATAAAAAGAATTATACAAGATCAAACCAAAAGTGAGTGTGATGGCTGTAACCAATAGACTGGGAGTAAATTAAGAATAAACTCCACCTGTTGCTCTTCTAGGGCTACTGCCGGTCTTAAGCCCGGGTAAAAGAGAGGAGTTGGACATGGGGTCAACAACCTTATGCCATAGAACACAACCTTGCAAAAAACGCTAACCAGATTAAACAAATTAAAAAAATCAAACTCTGTCTATCAAGTTGAAGGAAGAATTATGACGCCTCAAGATGAAAGCCGAGATTCTGCGAAAGTCACGAGGCCGATGTCTCTTCTAACAACCAGAGCAACAATTTTTATAGGTACATGAAATATCTGTACGATGTGGGAAACCGAATGACCAGTGAAATAGCAACGGAAATGAGGAGATACAACTTTGCGGTTCTTGGAATCAGTGAAACCCATTGGACCCAAGCTGCACTGCGAAAGCTAGATGCAAGAGAGACGTTGTTGTACTCCGTTCACGAAAGGGAAAATGCTCCACACTCTTCGAGAGTTGCTGGCAGGTAAATATAGTAAATCAGAGAAACCGGTTAAGGACAAAGAAGGCAAGCCAATCACTGAGACCCAAGAACAGAGGAACAGATGGGTAGAATGCTTTGAAGAACTCTTGAATAGGCCAGCTCCATTGAATCCATCGGATATCGAAGCAGCACACACAGACCATCCTATACATGTCACTCCACCAACGATCGAAGAAATCAAGATGGCCATCAGACAAATCAAGAGTGGAAAAGCAGCATAACCCAACAATATACCAGCCGAAGCACTAAAGTCAGAACTAGAAGTAACTGCAAAGATGACCCGCGTTCTATTAAGGAAGATTTGGGAGGAAGAACAAGTGCCACAGACAGACTGGAAAGAAGGATAACTCATACGAATAGCAAAGAAAGGAGATATGAACAAGTGTGGGAACTACAGAAGAATCACACTACTATCGGTACCAGGAAATAATTTTCAACAGAGCGTTGCTGAACCGGATGAAAGACTCAATAGACGCCCGACTCCGAGATTGACAGGTCGTATTCCGTAAGAACCGGTCGTGCACAGGCCAAATCGCGACACTACGGATAATAATAATAATAATAATAGCCAATAGGTCAATTGAAAACTTATGATAAAAGGAATACGAATATATGTATAATGTAGTTATTTAACAATAAGAAATATATATATTTAACAAGTGTAATTCACTCATGTTAAATGTGAAGCAGCAGCTACTCACCACTGGAACTGGTTCATAGTTTTGCATTATTTGGAGTTGATTGATGTTAGGAATGTCAACCATTCTAAAGCAGCCCAATGGTCTAAGTATTTAACACACGACGCGAGATCTGAAGACACTGGCTCTGGTCTTCGGTGATGTTTGTAGATGTACATTTTCGAAGAGTACTATATTAGAACGAAACAACTGTCCAATACCTTCTAGTTGTCTGTGATCGTTCAATTAATGTCAGTTATTAATATGAACTGCCAAAAATAATAATATTAATTTCAAAAAATTGATTTTAGTTTTTTCTTAGATATAACCGAAGATTCAGTTCACGTAATTATAGTTCTTATTTTAAAATTCCTTTTACTTAGATGTTCCAACGCCTGTTCTATCAGAGTCGAAAAAGGAAAACATGGTAAGTAGTGTCATGGTTCATTTTTTTAGTTCCTGAAATGACACTACCACTAATAATAATGTGACATGTATTATAAGTTGGTGTATTCCGCTCTGTGCCTATTTTTGTATGTGAGGAAAAATGGTGTTGCTTGGTTGCCCAAACTTTTGATGATTGAAGTAATTTATTTATTGTAAATTATTTTCAAATTAGAAATTGGTTGACAGGTTACTATCGTCATAAAATCAGTGGATAGTAGACTTTTTGACTGAATTGATCAATTTGTTAAAAATTGCTGTGCACTTAAACCTCTTCCAAGTGCGTCTTCGTCAAACTTTTGACGGCCCAGATGTATTTCCTTCCACAGAAACCGGAGGACACCGGGGAATGTTGAACTAAATTGGCAGAAACGAAAGGTTCGCCTAAGGAATTCGAAAAATTATTCAAACAAGGATTGCATATTATGCAGGAATCTACTTTGTCAACCAAATCGCCAGCAGAATATATTTCCTGATGCTGTTCTGTCTTGTGAAGAAATGAACCTTTAGGTTAAAGGCTTAAAAGTTCTGAACTGTCAAAACAATGTTTTGGTTGCTAAATTATTGCTTTATGAAGAATCATTGTGTTCAATGCTGTATCTTGTTCAAATAATCTGAAACTACGATCGCTCATTTAAACCTACTACTTCGGATGTTACCAAGCCGAACAACATATAGGTCTGACTAATGTTATGAAAAATCTCGCTTTCAATGTCTACTATTTTGTATCCCAGGTTCGAAGCTTCTCTCCCTACTTCGGTTTGGTCACCTTAGGAGTTTCATTAGCCCCCAAACTTATAGTGTGGCTGATATTTATTGAAGTTTGTTTAATCTCGGTTTATTGAATGCGTTTAATCTTCTGTCTTCAATATTCTTATAATCGTTAAACCGAAATATACAAAAGAATAAGATTCGCAAACCTTGCCTAATATCTTGTGATCAAATGTCAATTATACAGATTACTTGTTTACTAACTCATTTACCAGATACAGATTTGTGTTCTTGATTTAAAGGTACTCTCTAATTGCGAAGTCTAGTATATCATACTACCCAGTTATCCAATCCGAAATAGATATAGGACCGAGGGTTTTCTCCTGGGACTTGATTACTGATGGGTTAAATGTCTTAACCAATAAGCTACCATCCCTGTACGAATGCAAGTATAGAATATGTTGTATTAAATTAGTCAATATTTAAGAGTATTATTTTGAAATTATGTAATAAGTTGAGATGAATTTTTATTATGACTATTTACTTTATAAAACAAAATATTTTCAGGTTGAATTTTATTTAAGTGCTCCATCATTTCGTCCAAGTTTATCACAACAAATTGATATACCTAATCTTCAAGATATTGAAGGCAATTTAGAATCAATTGAATCCATGTCTCAGATGAATAGAAATTCTAATTTATCAAGTGAAAATTTAGATTCTGGAAATACATGTAATACTGTTGGTACTAGTTCGTCAGCAGTTGCAGTCGCTGCCGCATCTCTAGTTGAAGAAGAACGTTCAGTAGATCAACAAGAAATGTTTTTCTCACTTCTACTTGAATCACAATCTCGTCGTATGGATGAACAACGTTGTTATTTACGTACTACTGGACAAGGTACACCACCCATTCAATCGACTGAAACAAATAGTATACAAGAGTCAAACAATGTTCAGTTGTCATCTGGAAATTCTCGTCTTACACCCGACTATGATAACTCTTCACTTCGCAATCAAATTGGTACAAATGAAGAAGCTTTCTTTGACTTAATCGAAGGGGTTCAGGTAAATTTAATTTTCTTGTACATTCTGAATGTGTATGTATTTCTGTATTCCACCATTATATTAAGTTACTGTTGGTTTTTATAATCCAATTCAGTTACGGTATAATGAATCCTTTTATGCAAACGAGAAGATTGAAATAAGAATGAGGGTTTCATCGCCGAACCGGATTGTGATGTACATAAATCATGGGATTATGCAATTCTCCCTCTGACTTAGATAAGGACATGTAAGCTGAGACCTTGCTTAGTTTGTTAATGGACTTTCTCCATTAACGCATCTTTGTAATTTTTAATGTGTTATTTGACCCTCAAATGACATCTAAGTGCAACAAGCATAATGTTCACAGTCCCCCAATCTGTCACTTACATCTGTTGATTATTAACTAGTAGCCGGTGAATGTAAAATTTTCAGTCCTGCAGGAAATCGGTTGCATCCCGAATTGTTTAGTGTTGAAGTCTCGACTCACTGTGATACACCAAGTAGTGATACGGGTTCAACGTTTGTGGCAGTGGAGCATCAGTTACTTCAAGATTACAGATAGAACTTGTTAGAAAGTATCAATCATAGTATGAAAGCTTTATCTAACCCTATCTTTCAATTACATTCACCTATCTAACTTCGTTTTTACATTATTACTTACATCATAGCTACTTGAGATCATAAAAATTACTGCTCCATGTCAATCTAATGTATTTTCATTAGTGTTAAGCAGTGTTAGCATGTAGTATTTTGTTTGTTTTTTCTTGACTTCCGAAAATATATTACCAATTTTTTAAAAAAAATAATCAGTTAACCACATTTTCAACCATCAATGTTATTCATTAGTGTTATTTGCAATTGTCAACTTAGTTGTCTAATTTCATAAACGTTACTACTATCTGCTGTCTGTAATAGACAAAAAGTCTTGACAGCTTCTGTTATGTAATCATGGGAAATGTTTAACTCACAAAAGAAAAATAAAACATCCTCCAATGGGTTTTATTTCTGGTCATTTTTTCAGTATATGTACACATATACAATGACATTATGAAGATTGTTGAATTTAAAGTTTCACGTCATCGCTGAGCAAAAAATACTGAATAGTTGTATCGTCCTATCATGAGACTCTTAAACAGTGGACATCTACATCTACTGAGCTAGCGTTCAATTTTTTCATATATATATATATATATATATATATATATATATATATATATATATATATATATATGATTCAATAGTTTCTATTTCCTTTCTTTCCTTGTTATGCTTCCACTACTCTATGTGTGTATGTTTAGGGTGCTAGAATGAATGACCAACGAGCCAACTTATCTGTTTTCCCTGGTCTTCGTTCTGGTCCAGGTCTTCATTTATTAGATAGCAATAATAATACTACTACTCCTGCTAATAATAATAACAACCGTTATTTCGGTTCAACTAATTCAGTGTTCAAATCAACAAGTAGCTGTGCAAGTGATGGTCTTCCAGAACCTAGACTACGCAATAACAGCAGTAATAATGATGATGTCACTGGATTATTTGATCACAATCCAACCACAACCACTACATTTCCTGCTACAAGAGCTAGTTGTGGTAGCTGTGAAACAGGAAGAGCGGTAATAAGAGGAGGAGTGGGAAGTAATGCTGCTGGTAGTGGTGTTGATACACGTGGACGTCGCGGTCATACTGTTTCATCTACTGGTGATTTGGACGATGAGTTTTTAGAAATGATATTTCGAATTCAAGTAGGTTGTTTTTTATGGAGTTTTTATTTTAAATCCGTTTAACTAATTAATAAATTAATGTTACTTACAAATCTTAAATAAGCGATTTGGAAGTCGAAAGCTATTGGTTCAAAACTTTCGAAACAGTAATACGTACGGTTGCTCCAATACCTACCTTTCTAAGCTTGTATTCAACAGTTCAAAAGACAATACTATAATGGGGGTTTGTGAAGATTGTCCAATTTTACAGTTTACGTTACGAAATGATACTAATTAGACAACCACCGGAAAAGAAGGAGCACAGGACTTTTCTTTCATCCTGATATGGGGCTCCTCATCAGTGTGGACTCTTGTTCGATCCCCGTTGGGTTGTGAATGGGCATTGTTTGAGAAGTTCCATACCAAGACGAAGCAGCTTTCCAGTGTTTCCTGATTTTCGTCGGTCGTTTTGCGTAGGTCAGTTCATGATATAGATTATGAAATTAAATTATCAAGAAGATAATATCAGAAGTTTTATTACATCTTTGATCGTTGGTGAAGTCGTGAAAAGTGTCTGAGTATATGTAAAACTAGATATTTCTAAGAATCAGCATGGTTTTAGAATTCCAAAACGATGATTTTAATAATTTCTGGCTGAATCTTCGAAATGCGTTAAATTTCCCCAATGCATTAATTACTAATATTTTCATAGTTTGAATCAAGAACTGATCATGGCCAAACCATCACTAAAACCAAGAACCAATGGACGGCTGTTTTTTTTCTAGCATAAGACTCCTAGTCAGTACGAAATCGAATTAAGGACTTTCATTATTCGTCGTCGTTCATTGTTCCTTTTTGTTGATCTTTAGTGCATTTCTCTTGATTATTCTAGTTTGTTTTCATCTTTTTTATCGACTTTGGTCTAGTGGTTTTACATTAATATTAGTATTATCCCACCTCCTTACTCATCTCAGATCCAACAGGTTATATATATATATATATACTGGACTCTGATGTTTTGGTCCAATGTGATGTACTTTTCTTCTCACTTCCAAACACTATCGTAGGATGTTCATAACTTTTGACAACCATCTAGATCGGTAGAGGCTTATAATCTCATCTAGTCACTTATTTTTTCTATATGACTGTGCATCTAACCTCAGCATGACTCTTTCAGTGGTTCATTTAAATAAAATATAATATTATTAAACACCCATAATCTATATCTTACAAGTTTTAAAATGACTGTTTTCCACTGCTGTTTGGAGCAGTACAAAATGACCTGCTAGTTATGGAATACTCATCCTACGATAGGTACTTGGATCCACGGCTCTAGCACCATAAGCGACATAGACTGAAAAGTATCGAGCTTATCTTTTAGTAGAGAGATCTTGTCAGTAATCAAGTGTATTAAGAATTATACACGGCTCGTCAAATAAATCAAGTGATCTGTCCGTTAAACAGCCGTATTTTATAATGTTTATAGAACATAGTTGAGAAGCTGATATTAACTATTCTCAGTTTTTCAACAAATTTTAATATATATCCATACCGTGACTTGATCAACAATTATCTTTGTAAAGCTGTAAGAGAGTGGAACAATGGTCTAACTGTTAAAGTATTCTATTTTCATCTGTCGATTTGTTTGTTCGGACTCCACTCAACCTTTACTTCGATTCGAGCAGCTATATAGTATTACTGGTTTCCGCTTTAGAAGTGGATTTTCAATCTAGAGCACATAAACACGTATTTAAATAGTGCTAGGGCTTAGAAATTTGATGATCCGATAAACGATTGAGTTCTTAATTGTTTAAATAAATAAATCATGTGATGGACACGTTGATACGATGTATCCGATTGATATCTGATTAAGAGGTTAAATTTACTAACTCAAATCCTCGACCGAACTGATATCATCTAAGAGGAACACGACAACTGGTTAGGAAAATATGTTTTTTCTTCAGCACACTTACACATTTATACACTATATATATTTGCTTTAAACATTATTTGAAGTTCATTGAAACAAAGACAGTCGGAAGACGCACATAATTTAGATCGCTCAAGTACCAGTAAAATTAAGATCTGATTGTCAGAATTAATTCTTATCCAACAGTGAATTCCATCGAATCAATTAGGAATTGTTAAAAATACACTTGAATGATACTTCGAATCATGTATTCAAGCATTGCTAATATTTTTGTTTTCCAAATATTTTCGTTTTTAACCAACTTTCCACTATATTCTGAAGGTGTAGTTTTCTTTGAGTTGGATAGTTTAGTTATGAAGCTCTTTTTTTCTAGATAACATCGTCAGCAAATATTTAAAAGGGAAGTGGGCTATTTGAAGTTGTTTACATTTGATTAACAGATTGTTTTACTAACACGATATTCGATTAGTTGCTATCCCTAGTTGTTTTACCGTTGTTTACATCTGCAGTTTAGCTTGTCTCCTCACCTGGCCCCGACCTCTAGCCACAAATAGGTTGGTTCGATTTTAGTATATCTATTGATCGATATGTGACCGATCGGAACACCTTATTGAATGATAGACATATCAAAATTAATCAGTGAGATAAAGCGTACACAACCTTGAGATCAGAGGTCAGACCAAGGTATAAGACTATCAAGTTAGGTTCACAAACAGTAGTAACACAACTATGGATAACAACTAATCAAATTCCATGTCAACAGAATAAGCTGTTTGTCAGTTGTGAAGGAATTCCAATAGCTCACTTTCTTTTGGAGCATGTACTGATGATGTCGTCTAGAAAGTCAATGAAAGCTTCACAACTTAATAAGCCAACTTAGAGACCACGACACATCGAAAATCTTCAAATATTATCTATCATCGTATATATTTTATTCTCTTACAGACATGTACACGAATCAACGACCAACGAACCAATCTACCTGATCCCCTTACTCAAGTTCAATCACATACTAATCCAACTCATCGTAATAATGATAATGGTGATGGTTCCAGGGGAATTCGTCAACCAATAAGTACATCAGAAGCAACAACAATAACAACGTCTAATTCACACAGAGAATTAACTTTATATACTTCATCCGGTGCATTTAATAATTTAACAAATCGATGTTCTGTCCCAGCTATCGTTGATGATGATGATGGTGATGCTAACGATCTATTTGCATTAATTCAGCGTGTTCAATCGACACGTTTAGATGAACAACGATGTCGTCCACCGTTGTAATAATATTGTCATTATCTAGAATCATGTTTATCAAACTGTGTATGTATGTCTGTATGCTACTACCGATGGAACAATTTTCATGTTTGTAAACTCCCTATACCATTTGATTTGTAAAATAATAGCCACATGACTAAGTACGAAATTCTAACATTCTTCCCTCCATAAAAATCAATTTTCGCGACAGTAGCCTTGTCGAGTGATCAATGTGGAGCAATGAACAACAACATGTAGGATAAACAATTGGGAGTGGAAAAAAAATTGCCAGAAACGATTGTGAATTGTATTATATATTCTTTTCTTTTACTAATCATCACTTCGTCTTCATCATCATCGAGACATATTTATTTCATATCTTCACAGTTGAACGAACTTGTATCTCCTTTGGATTTTTTATTCCTGAATTACTAATCTTTAATTGAAAATCGTGATTCGTTACAATTTTTTCCTTTGCTTTATCTGACGAAGATAACATCTAATTCATGATCAATTAAAGGTTGATATGCTTTCTGGTGTTTCCTGCGTCTTGCAATTGATTGTTCGCCTCCCCACTCCTTGCCCCCCCCGTTGTCAACAACATTCCTTTCAGGTGTGTGTTGTCATCTTGACTTTTTTCTTCGCATTTCGATATCTAATACAGAGGTTATCTATAGGTAGATACTCTTGATAAGTTTTGACGGGCTGAGTTCTTTTGTTTTTAGTATAAACCAGCAGTAAATAACATTAATATTAATCATAATGTAGCAGTATATATCAGTAAACCAACATAGATTAAATAAGTACATGTACAACATGTATAAATATTGCATTACGTTCCCATTTCTTCCTATTGAACCATGTTTAATTTGCCCAAACTCACAAAGTACCTCATAATCCTATTTATTTCTACTTTATGTGTGTGGTTCATAATGTATTTGTGTGTTCCCATAGAAACTTTCCATTATTATTTTTACTATTATTCAATATGTGTGTAAACAAGTGAGTGTATTGTGCATGTACTTTGTACTGGTGAGTGTTCGCTTCCTCTCCGTGTCTGTCTGTCTATCTATCGGTGTGTGGTTCTTTTTGATATTCTTTGTTGTTGCAATGTATCTAACTTCTAATACAGTCAGTGTAGTTTTTTCTTCATGTCACCACCTTCTCTCTGTCTCTTCTCATAGCTCTGTTTTCTTTTCTGAATTGCCATATAGCACATTGTCCTTCTCTGTTTCTCGCGTATATTCGTGTTTTATTCAGAAAAACATATTTAGTAACAAAGAATAGATGTATTTTTTAAATTTTATTCAATTGAAAAGATGTTCTACAATTTCTGGTTTTTTTTATTCAACCTTGGTAGTAATATCGGGAAGTTGCTAATCTATTCGAAAATAATCCAAATAACTTATGTTGAACTAGTCGATCATCTGACATTCTCATTTCAGTTGTCATTGTGTTTAGAGGTAGCTTTGTTCAGCTTATTAATCTCATATTGACTGCATATAGGTTTTAATTTTTTCTCTAGTTCTAAGTTATTTATATATCACTTGTTACATGGTTAATAGATCATGCAAATCTCCACATTCTTTATTGTGGGATTAGAAAGTCAAATGAGATTGGTCATAAGTAGCCTTTATTCTATTTCGAACTTGAAAAAACTTGATGGCATATATAATGAAAACAAGGCCGTTCATTTACCATAACACCTTTTAAATCTCACTAAGTACATAACTAGGATGCACCACATATGAGCAATTGTCAATACGTATAAAATTAAGACATTTTTTATGCAAAGTCGGGTGACAGATTTATTGTAGTTAGCTACCATATACCAACGGCCAAAATAAAAATTTTCAACGTCTTTTAAAATGATCCTGAGAAATGTTTACATGCTTTTCAGGTTATCAGAGATGAAAATAATAAATTATTTATTGTGAAAATGATTAGGAAGTAATTTTTATCCAGGCTATATACATGGATCTGTCATTTTTCCGGAGACTTTGGGCCCAGCATCTGAGATGTTAAAGTTATTGCTTTCTTAACCCTTTTGCAGTTGATCTCCATATTGGTTTCTTCTTTAAGTAGGTCTTTTAAGGCTTGCAACTTATTGCTGAGATCTATCTTGAACTCGGTGAGCTTGTTGGCATTTTAAAGAACGGCTGTATTAAAATGTTATTGTCCTACTTGTCTTACTATCAAGTGCTTCATTAACTTCAGTTTTAGCTTGACCATTGCCAGCTCGTGACGTCAAGCTATATGGACTTTCTGATTTTTATATTCATCCCGATCTGGTCGATATTGTTTCTTGTAGTGTGAAACCCATGTATGTTTGTGCATGCGTTTGTGAAGGAATGTGGTGCCACCTACAACCTTGTTATTGAAAGCACGCAGATCTACCAATCGTTCGTCATTCTCGTCCATTTCGCTCCATGTTGCGTTTATAACAAGTATTGTTCACCCGAACTTTGGCGTTCACATACCCCGTCAGGATGAATTGGTGTTTCTCTGAGCATTTGTCTAGAACGGACTATAGCCTTTCATGAAACTGATAGTTGTTATCTCTGTTTCTATCATTAGTGGTTGCATAGTACCGGATGACATTCATTATTATCTTTTTTAAGGATGCTTTGATAACCCTGGAGCAATAGGTTTACCATCCTCTAAGCGCTTCAGCGATTCTTTGAACAACAGCGCCATTCCGCGCGTATTTTTGGGAGTCATTTTCTTCTTCATCATCAGAATACAATAACAATTCTCTTTAAGTTTGTTTTTCTTCCCTAGACTGTGTACAATGAGTTCCACTCATTTCAAACACTGTTACGTCCTTGATCTTGTTATATCCGGTCGTCGCTGACTGTTGTGCCGGAAAATACACTGACCACGTATACTCGGAATAAGGGACCTCTGCAACTCCCGTAATGCGAAAGTAAGAGCACAAAAACTGGTGTAAGTGATGACGATGATGAATAACAATAGTCTAAAATACACTGGTTTATATATTGATTGTACACCCATTTTGATTAATAATTAGGAGTAAATCACATACTCAGTTATAACAAATCACTTAGTTCATGTCAACTGAATACAAGAATATCGTATATTATACAGAAGAAAATATCATACTGGGAAAACATATCAAATACTACACTGAATGATCATCACGTTGAATTAAAACGGATGTAATGTTGAATAAAACTTGTAATGAGTAATTCAATCGAAAATTGACTTTTCTTTCCATCATATCAGATCTGTTTACCCAATAATATACTGGAGAGAACTAGTCTTGATCCATGTTAAGGCTTTGATATTATAGGCTAACTGGTTCAAACTTAAGTCTGGAAATCCATTAGTCCGAATTGAAACTAACGGTTTTAGGAATAGAAACAAGAAAAATATTCTATCACCTAATTGGTTGACAAGTGGGAAATAGAAGACCAGAAAACGGGATCCCCACTCGTTTTCTTCATGATTCAGATCAATGAAAAAAGATGTATGAATAAATAGATGACCAACAAAACCACAACGCACAAACAATAATGTTCGAACTAAGCATCACGGTAGAAATTTAGAGTACAAGAGGTTACGTTTAAATCACAATAGCTTTGGAATAGAAAAGGCTATGTCAGTGAATCAAACGAAAGCTTGTGGTTTATAGAATAATCTAGGGAAAAAACTAATTTTTAGTAGTTAAGAAACGTTGAATTGTGTGAAATAATGTCCAAAAAATATCTCCCGTTGTTCGTCATGGCTCCTTCATTTTCTATTCACATCATTGTATGTTCTCACTTAGGCCGCTATTCGAATGTCTCTCCTTGTCTTCCACATCATCCGGACATTCATTATACATATATTAATTGTTGCCCTGGTTATTATAAGTGGCATCGGGATTGTGGCTTACGAAAATCTCAGATTTCATCATGTCACGTCATAAATTTTGATTATCATTTTTGTAGTGGGGTTATATTTTTAGGTGGGATTACTAGCATTACACCCAGCCCTACTCCTTCACCAAGGGTTACGTCCAGTATTAGATCCAAAAAGGCTTCAGGTGTAGTTATACGAACGTATTGTCCGAGAATAACGTCTGATGCTATATTTTACCTTTTTATGAAAAAATTAAATCATGCTTCTAACTATTACAAATGTAGATTTATTGGCATACAAACATTAGGAGGAGAGGTAGTCATTTGCTTGTTAGAGTGGTTGAATACATACTTAAATGACTACAAAAACAAATGAATTCTTGTACTTAAATTAAAGTACATAATAAACAAACATCATCGATTGCCAAACATTTATTTGAGATGGAGACGATAGGGTTGTTATCAAATTAGCCTTTTTAGTAATGGTATAGAAATGCCGATGGGTAAATACTAATATTTACTGAAGCATTAGCCATTATGACGATTCAAACCTATTTTGCATACTCCAAAACAGTTTTTTCTCACTCTGAGTTTATCTTGAAAATATTGATTTATTATTATTCAGAACAGTGCGATTTATATTTTTTACTTATTTTATTATTATTATTACTATGCTCATTATTTTATGTCAAAATTATATTTGGAATAATCTCAGCGATTGGACTTTAAATAATTCCAACGTTTCGTCCAGCTAACTTGTCTAGACCTCTTCAGGGTATTATTATTGGTCTCTTATGTTCCGATTTGTCTAATGTGGTCATTACTTCTCATATTATAAATATATTAGCAGGTAGATGAATGATAGTATTGTTGTTCAAAATGCATTGCGCTATTATATCACATTAGTTCTGTGGTATAATTTGTCTTCTCACTGAATCATCCAAATGTATACAAGCTAACACTTACAAATGAAACGAAATTCACCCTTGTAGCACAAGCCACTGGCTATCTGGACGTATTAAGTTAGCGGTTAATGTGTTGGGTTTTTGAATCGAAGGGAACTGCGTTCGAACCACCCTAATGGAAATCGATGTTGAAATGCAAGTGTGAATTCAGCTGATGAGTCTGTAATAGAGCGAAACGCGTGTTTCCGATTGCACTGATAACCATCATTCAACGTTGTTAAGCAGCTAAGTAGTTTTGCATACTAGCTGATGTTAAATATGCTAATTTTCACGTATTTATTTAAGATGAACCAAAATGATTAACTGCTAATTGGATCATTCGTCTCTTTGAGAGTTTGTTCTCTAATTTGTGTTCTTATTCCCACTCGTTTTTTTCTCAACTCATTTATTCATCTTTCGTTTATCTCATTAGTTAGTATTTTGGAAGATAATCTCAAGTGAAGGGAAAAAACGACTGACCAAAACAACAAATCAATTTAATTATTCATTTATTTGATATTTACCGTTTGTTTAAAAATTGCTATTCATTATTTAATATCAGTCTTGTTTATGGATATTAGAAAGAAACAGTGAGAAATAAATTGTATTTTCAAAATGAGAACATACATACATTCAATGGATATTAGTCTATGGGGAAAAGTAAATTAAGAGAAATGAATAATTTACATAAACTGCTTAGCTTCAGTGATAATTATATGTGTTTACTAGCGAGAGGTTGTTACCGTTAGGGTCACTTATGTTCAGACGTAAGCAGTTATTACTGATAAAATCGGATGAGCATTATTAGTTAGCCAGTTATAAGGTGACCATGATTGCTGTTAGAGAAATGAGGACGTTGTCACTGAAGTTGCCCACATCATGGAAGAATACTTCTGCTTCATGTGCCTGATAGAGGAACTGGGTTAAAGTGGTATCTAGAAATTTTGGTTATTTCTCCATTTATTTAGCGATTAGGCGCTTTATATTGTAGTGTACTTTCCACTTTTCAAGCACTAACTTTCAGTAATATTTCTGTTTTTCATTCGACATTTCCAGCTGTGCTACACTGATATTTTCATTGAACCCAGTTTCAGAGAACTTCAATTGGCTGAAATGATATCTGAAATAAAAATTACACTCTAATATACAGTACTTATCCATTAAATGCAAAGAAAAGTGAAAAAGAATGCTGGGTATGATACTTTTAGTCAACAGTGAAAACGTTACAGACAACTTCAGACGATCCTGTCATTCAATATATATATATATATATATATATATATATATATATATATATATATATATATATATATATTACATTGGAAAATGACATAATCTTAACCATGTTAGAAATCACTGAAAACAAAATGACTAACTTATTCGATATTAATGAACAAAAAAGGTTAATATTCAATTCTTATACTTATATGACGAGTCAGTGTATAACATTTCATATAACTATATTTCGCTTAAATATTATTATTCAGTATATTAATCTGTGATGTTAAGTAGTTAAGAATTG